CCACGAAGGGCAAATTTCACATTTAAAATTCTCAAGCAACAATATAACATGCGCAAATCACACCGAGGCGAAGGCCCGATCCAACAGAAATAAACTGTGCACTTGCCGAGGGTCGACGGCGCGCCTATAGATGCATCTATTTAATCTGCCAAGGCGTTCGGCCCGTTCAATAAATAAATACATACCCTGCTCGCGAATCATGCGTGCGACGCAGGTACACATAGAGATACATGCTCAATCAGCCAATTAAGAACTTATCGGGAATATTTATCCAAATAAAATAAATTTCTCTTTTTAACAATTCAGGAAAAATGATGTTTAATCTACTTTTAAATTCATTTACTAATCCAAGGTGATTTAAGCAATTCAAGCTATCAACAGGTTCATAAATAATCCAAGTATAACATGTTTTTGGGCCCTAACTACCCGGACAATGGCATAATAGTAGCTACGCACGGACTCTCGTCACCTCGTGCGTACATAGCCCCCGCAAATAGGAGCACATAATCAATTATTTCACCTATGGGGACAATTCCCTCTTACAAGGTTAGAAAGCAGACTCACCTCGCTCCGAAGGTCCATAACCGGCATTCCACGCCCTTCCGAAGGCTCTAGTTGATGCACCACGCTCCAAAACTAGCAAACGGTTACGCAAATCCATTAATATATGCCCAATTAATCATTACAATCTAATTTATGGAAATTCCTAACTCCGATCGAAAAGTTGCCCAAAACTCCCTCGGGCCCACGTGCCCGGAATCCGAAATTTTTCGAAGATAAAGATTACCCATGACCTTAGGAACTCAAATATATAATTTTCACTAAATTCCATACTCAATATCGTGGCTAAACTCCAAGAAATGCCAATTTCTAGGTTTTCCACCAAAACCTAAGTTTTTCCATAATTTCCTTGCCTAAATCCATGTATAAACTTGATATTTAACTCAAAGCTAGCATAAATTACTTACCTCATGATGAGTGACGAAAATGGCACCTCAAATCTGCTCCCCATCGACTCCAATTGAAGAAAATGGGGTTGAAATGAACCCAACCCCGAATTTTAAAAGACCTCACTAGCTCAGTTATTTCCGCTTCTGCGGTGCACTGACCGCTTCTGCAGAATTAGGATCGCTTCTGCGAACCTGGCCCAAAATGCCTGGACCGCTTCTGCGGTCTGGGTCCCGCTTCTGCGGTCTGGGTCCCGCTTCTGCGGAACCGTTTCCGAGAAAACTGGGTCGCTTCTGCGGTTTCCCTTGGACTGGCCCTTGGCCGCACCTGCGATGGACTGACCGCATCTGCGGTACTGCTTCTGCGGTTCTAGTACCGCAGATGCGGTTATGACAGAAGCAGCATACCTTCAGCTATTCCTCAACTTCCAAATTTGATCCGTTAACCATCCGGAATCCACCGGAGGCCCTCGGGACCCCAACCAAACATACCAACCGATCCTAAAATACATTACGGACTTGCTCGAGGCCTCAAATCACATCAAACAACGCTAAAATCATGAATCGACCTCCAATCCAAACTCAATGAACTTCAAAAAATCAAACTTCTATTTCCGATGTTTAAACCTATCAAATCACGTCTGATTGACCTCAAATTTTGCGTACAAGTCATATTCGACATTACGGACCTATTCCAACTTTCGGAATTGGATTCCGACCCTGATATCAAAAACTCCACCTCCGGTCAAACTTCTCAAAAACCTTCAAATTTCTATCTTTAGCCAAATGGTTCCAAAATGACCCACTGACCTCCGAATTCACTTCCGATCGCGCCCCCAACTCCAGAATCACCATACGGAGCTGTTCACAGTCTCGGAATCCCAAACGGACATCGATAACACTAAAATGCACCTCAAGCCAAACTTATGAAATTTCTTCTAAAATGCTAACTTCCACAATAGGCGCTAAAACGCTCCCGGGTTATCCGAAACCCGAATCGGGCATACGCCCAAGTCCCAAATCATCATACGAACCTGCTGGAACCTTCAGATCCCGATTCTGAGGTTGTTTACTCAAAAATCCAATCCTAGTTCATTCTTCCAACTTTAAGCTTCCGAAATGAGAATTCTCTTTCCAAATCAACTCTGGACTTCCCGAAATTCAATTCCGACCACGCGCACAAGTCATAATACCTTAAATGAAGCTGCTCATGGCCTCAGGCTGCTGAACGGAGTGCTAGAGCTCAAAACGACCGGTCGGGTCGTTACATGACATTTGTGTTGTTATAAAAGCTTCTCACTAAGGGTAAAATAGGTAAGATGAAAAGTTTAAAGTTGAAGTATTTCCAAATTTAGAAATGTATCTTTTATTTTGGAACATACTAAAAAAAAGTACCTCATCGAATTTGAAACGGAGGGAGTAATCAACAATCAACAACCCAAACCTATAATCGTTCATGCTTTTCTATCAAATTTATCAAATCATATCTCATGAACTAGAGTCTATAATTATTAATCAAATACTATAATCAAGTAGAGGGTGAAGATATTACCTTTTTTTACGTCCAATCCTCTTGAATTCGAGTTCTAGAGTTTTTTTTCTCAACAATTATATCACGAACGAATATCTAATGATTTAAAGAGTTTACTCATGTTAATAAGGTATTGGAGAATTAAAATTAATTTAAAATCGTCATTAGAAATTATCTTGGATGATGGAGGGATCTTGGAGGAAGTTGGGTTCTTGAGAGCTTCCCTTTCTAGAGCAAATTGTCGTATTTTGGGGTGTGGGGGATGAGGTAGGGATTTTAAAATGACCCTCCGGGTGCGCTTCCACGCAGATAAAGGTCCAACCGCGCACCTGGACGTGCAGCAAGGGAAGTGGCGCTGCCACAAGTGCGTTGTCGCACACAGGAACAGCTGGGCGCACAGGCTGCACATTATCCAGTAAAATACGCATAATATTTTGCACGGAGATCCGTTCGGACTAAATAATATATCATTGGAAAGGTATTTCAAAGGGCTACAACTTTAATATCTTAAGTGTTCCGAAATTTCTAACAGATTTACATGAAATCAGTATGAAATACAGACCTTTCATAAGCTTAGTCGATTTTATCGCATCTTATGCACATCACTTTCCGTCTTGATTCTAAAATAACATTTTCCACCCATAATCATATCAATAGGAATTAACGTGCCTACAAAATCATATTAATACTCATTTAATACATTCACACCTAATCCGAATTTATGGAGTATTGCATTAAGTGTGTTGAACTTTGTAGGATAAATATCCGTTGAGATCGAAATAACATGGGGCTTGCGAAAGCTAATAATACAAAGCTTGGTGGGCGATAAATCAGATACTAAAAGAATTATATTAAAACATGCTATTATAATAGGTTTGGTTAATTGACCTTCATATAAAAACTATTGAAAGGGAAATCTCCCCTAAATAAGACTATTTAATGACTACATTGTGGATGATATTGTTGTTCTTGTTGTGAGAAGAAAACGTCAATCTATAGAAGTATAAAACTTATCCTCCAAGAAAAGGATAAAACATATGAAGGAGATTTATTCCTTTTAAGAGTCATTTTCCTTCTTTCAAGAAAGAGAGTCCTAATAAATTAGAAATTCAGGGCAAATAACCAAGTTCATAGCAGAATAGATAGAGCTTTGGTAAATGCAGAATGGATGGACTCTTATCCCCAACTGGAAGCTGTTACTATGGATCCACTTTTTTCTGATCACACCCCCTTATGTGTTAAAATTCAAGATAGTTCTGGAAAAAGGAAAAGGCCATTTAAGTTCTTTAACTTCATTGCCGATCATGAAGACTCCCTGGATGTGATAAGGGATGAATGGATGAAACAAGTAAATGGTATGGGCATGGAAAACATATGGCAAAATTGAAGGTGATTAAGCAAGGGCTAAAGAAATTGAATACTATCCATTACCAAGGTATTGATATCAAAGTTAAAGAGATTAGGAGACAGCTGCAAAGCATACAGGAACAAATGAGAGATCACAGGCAATCAGATAACTTGTATGAACTGGAGAGGGAGCTTAGGCTGGACCTCGAAAAATGTGGGCTTATAGAAGAAGGTATAGCTAAACAGAAATCCAGAAACCAGTGGCTAAGACTAGGGGATTCAAATACTTCCTACTTTTATGCTTCAATAAAGACAAGACTAGCACAAAATAGAATAAATAGTTTGGTAAAGGAAAATGGCCAACTAATTCAGAATGAAGAGGCAATCACCGAAGAAATTCTTGGTTTCTACAAGCAACTGCTAGGGACAAATGCTACAAGGATCCCTGCTTTAAATGCAGAGGTGATAAAGGATGGACAAATTTTAAACAGGGAGCAACAATTGCAGCTTATTGAAACTGTAACTAGGCAGGAGATCTGGGAAGCTTTAGCAGACATTGATGATCGGAAGGCACCAGGGTGTGATGGCTATAATGCTTTATTCTTCAAAAAAATCATGGAGCATAATAGGAAGTGAGGTAACAGAAGTTGTTCTTCAGTTTTTTGATTCAACTAAAGTATATAAGGCCATCAACTGCACCTTAGTAACCTTGATCCCAAAGGTTAAGAACCCATCCACAATAAAACAGTTCAGGCATATCTCTTGCTGCACAGTGCTTTATAAAATCATCTCTAAAGTGCTGACTAGAAGATTACACAAAGTAATGGATATATTGGTAGATAATAGTCAATCTGCATTTGTACATGGGAGGGTGATCACAAATAATATTATTCTAAGCCATGAGCTTGTAAAAGGATACAATAGGAAAGGAGTGTCTCCCAGGTGTATGATGAAGGTAGATATGCAAAAGGCTTACGATTCCCTAGAATGGCCTTTCTTGGAGCAAATTCTTTGTAGCCTGAACTTTCCTGATATTTTTTTTTCAATGGGTAATGGCTTGTGTTAGCAGTGTGTCATAATCTATCATAATCAATGGGAAGCCTAGTGTGCCATTTCCAGCTAGGAAGGGGCTACGGCAAGGAGATCCCTTGTCTCATTTTTTGTTTGCCTTATCCATGGAATACCTCAATCGGTTGCTGAAGACATTGAGGAGTAACCCAGATTTTAATTTTCATCCCAGATGCGATAAATTGCAGATTATACAGCTTGGGTTTGCTGATGACCTTCTCATGTTCTGTAGAGGGAAAGTTATGTCAGCTCAACTTCTTTTCAACTGCTTCAACTATTTCTCTTAGGCTTCAGGATTGAGAGCGAATCTTGATAAGAGCTCAGTGTATTTTGGGGGTGTTGGAAAAGATACACAGCTGGAAATTTTGAATGTTCTGGGATTTACAAAAGGGGAGCTGCCTATTAGATACCTTGGTGTCTCGCTGAGCACTAAACGATTATCTGTGATGCAATGTTACCCTTTGGTTGACAAGATGTTGGGTAGAATAACCTCATGGAATGCTACACACTTATCCTATGCTGGGAGAGTTCAACTAATAAAGAATGTCTTATTTTCCATAAAAACCTTCTGGTCCCAAATCTTTATTCTGCCCAAAAAATTATTCACATGGTTGAAGCAACTTGCAGAACATTCTTATGGATTGGGGGTGCTACATTATCAAAAAAAAAAAAAAGCATTGCTAGCATGGGATAAAGTTTGTTGGCCAAAATCAGCAGGAGGCTACAATATTCTGAATGTTAGGATATGGAATAGAGCAGCTATATGCAAGTTATTGTGAAACTTATGCCGGAAAAAAGATAAGTTGTGGGTTCAATGGGTCCACATTTATTATGCTAAGCAGAGAGAAATTTGGGAGATAGAACCTAAACTAGCCTCTTGGATGCTGTTGAAGATACTGAAAGCTAAACATTACCTTACAGATGCTGGTATTGATATTGATGAACTGAGGCGAAAGCAAAACTTCTCTATAAAAAAATGTACCAGTTGCTATGTGGTACCTTTGTAAAGGTTCCATGGAGGAAATTGATTTGCAACAACTATGCTTCTCCAAAGTGGATATTCATTCTAAATTGGCTGTTTGGGGTAGATTGAATACAAAGGACAAGCTGGCCAAATAGGGTATTGTAAGTGAACAGAAGTATATCTTGTGTAAAGAGCAGAATGAGACCATTACACATCTCTTTTTTGAGTGCAAAATTTTTACTGAATTATGGGGAAAGATGCTTCTATGGCAATGGATAAGAAGATCTGTGATGACATGGCAAGAAGAACTACACTAGGTTGTTACCAAGATGAAAGGCAAGAATGTCAATGCTGAGATCTATAGAATGGCCTTTGCAGGTTGTGTTTACTACATTTGGCAAGAGAGGAATCTAAGAGTATTTCAGAGTAACCAAAGAAGTGTTGGGATGATTACAAGACAAGTGATTCAAGACATATTTTGTAGAGGGAGCATGAAGCATACGATGGACAGGAGGCTTGAAAGCTTAAACTTCTATCCATAGCGTAATTACACCGATAGGCTGTTAAAGTAGATTGTAGTAGGCGGATATTTTTGTAACTGCTTAGAAGTTCTGTAGTTGTTGAGATTTTTGAGGCTTCATGCCTAACTCTAGAGATTTTTGTTGCTTAGATACCTGTACATAATTTCTTTGGTGAAATAAAATTTTATTTACCAAAAAAAAAAAAATCAGGGCAAAACCCTATCAATATCAAACTTTATTTATATTAAAAAAAAACATTGAAAGATTAATCAATAAAATTCACCACTTATAATTGATAATTCTGCTTTCATAAAAATAATAATAATAAATATACAAAATCAAAGAACGAGGATGAAAGTCACATGACTCAACAAACAATAGCTTCACTTTTTTTATACAGAAATTTTTTAATTAATCAAGAGTTATTTTACTTTTCTCACGGAAGATTTTGGGGGAATAAAGGTTTATCATATGTGCCAGGATTAGGATCTTCCCTGTCTCTGTGCACAACCGGCGCAGACAAGCTACCGTTCACCATACAGAATGGCCTACTTGAACGAAGCAAACCTGGTACCGGTGGCATAATTCCAAGATCACGGGGTCACCTCTCTCGCTCAAAGAAAATGGACCCAAAGTGAAGAGGTACGTATAGACATCCGTAAAACCCTTCTTGGTGAAGATAACCCGCTCCACCAGGTCAGGAGAAATGATGCTTAGGTCATGGCAGTTACAATCATCCTTCACAGTAGGGATATTGGAAGGGCGAATAGAAGAGGGATACCTGCTAACAGGCCAAGTTCAAGGATTCGCAGAAGAGAACTTCTCTCGGAAGTCGTTAACAGTGCTCAAATGTTTGGGTATGATGGTGCTCACTGTAGCAGAATCAGCATCAACATCAACTTCTTTATCCTTACTTCTCTTCGGGCCTCCACCGAAGAGAAGACCAGAGTTCTTAAAAGATTTAGTGAAAGAAGCCATAGTAATGATAAGAAGATGATAGATTTTTTTGAAGAAAAACGGAGAGAGATAGAAGCAGAAGGAAGTTAAGTGCAAAGAGGATAAAAGAGCTTATGAAATTTAGAAGTGAAAGAGGCAAAATGATGCGTATAAGTAAAGATATAAACGGCTAAAATTGTGGTCATGATTACATCGAGAACCGGCGAAAATGTTGTTGAATGTGGGGCAACACCTGTTTGGGGTATTAAATGCGAGGAGACGTGTGTCTTATCAAGCGTTAGAGACTACTCAGAGGGTTTCAGAAAATTTCCAACAAAGAAAGGAATCTTCACCAACTTTCCGATGACACAAAGATGTGCCACCAGAAAGCAGGGGGACTATCAGTATAGGGTAAAATTAGTTAATATTACATGATCGAATGATTGCGTGACACGTGAAACCGGAGACAGGCGGAAGACGAATCGAGTAAGAACCAAGATAGGGGACAACAGCTGCAGTTGACATCGGATAAGTCCCGAAGGGAGCGTAACCGACTTGAGCGGGTCAATTGATTGTCAACATATTGTCACACCTCCTTTTTCACTACACCCGCGAGGGCGCAAAGGATTTTTTCCAATTAAAGGACAGTCGGAACGGGATTTATTATTAATATTCAGAGTCGCCACTTGGGAGATTAATGGTGTCCCAAGTCACCGGTTGAATCCCGATCCGAGGAAATTATGACTCTGTTAACTGTCCGCGAACCAGAAAACCGAGTAAGGAATTCTGTTAACCCGGGAGAAGGTGTTAGGCATTCCCGGGTTCCGTGGTTCTAGCACGGTCGCTCAATTGTTGTATTTGATTTTATCTGATTTCAAAACATGTTCTAGATTATGTGCTTTTATTAGTAAACCGCTTTTATTTCTATTTTTAATAAGAATTGCAACGTCGTGAAAATGCGTCTCGAACCACGTCGCACCAGTGCACCCGTGATTGTTAACACATTTCGATTTCGTTGAGATTTGGATTTGGGTCACATAAATGTGCACCCGAATTTAGGAAAGTAATATTATTAAAATACGCGCCTAAAGCAACTACGCGTTTGGCTTTGCGAGGGCCATGAAATTTTGCTAAATGGCACACCTCGGATTCTAAGGTTGAGTTAAAGCTAATTAAAACGAGGGCCACGCAATTGTCATTTTTGTTTGGCATGGCATACCTCGAAACTATTAAAAAAAGGTAAACTATGCCTATGAGATTTAATACTTTTTTAAAATAAACTTGATTCTACTAACTGAATTAGGACCCAATTAAGAAGAGGGTCATTTAATTTAAAGTCCAGTGCTAGCCGTCTCTCAAGCTAGGCCCAAAATACTATTCGTAGGCAAGCAGCACATTAGACTTCTAAAGACCCAGCGTAAATACCACAAACAACCCAACGAAAAGATACAACAGCTGGAGCACAAGGAACCAGGACCAAGGCCTGGAGAACCCCACTATGAGAGCCTGTGCGACTAATATTGGGCCTGGGGTCCAAGTGAACCCAACTACAAGAAGCGAATTTAGGCGAGACACTCTAATTACTGACTATCTTTATGCTTTGAAACTGTTCCCAATTATCCTGAATGGATTGTTCAAGTAGCTCAAACCTACAATGAAACATGCTAAAGACTACGAAATTTGAAGGGAATCAAATACCATAATTGATCAGGTTACTAAGAGACTATCAGGTTCACTCACACTAGGTCAGTGATAGAACCTGACAGTACCTCCATGAGCCATAAACCCAGCTATCAAACTATGTAGTATTCCAGTACACTTCAAATACACAATACTTGAGAAAATCAAGTAAAGGATGAACTAAGAACTGATACACAAATCATTTTAAGTAATTATTACAGGCCGACTATGAACATAAAGTAGAGAAAATCAAACTATAACAAATAAGTAGATCATTTCAATAAACTGAAATCAATTCTCATGTTTCATCATTCCCAGTTTACTTCATTTTCCGACTCATCTCACAGCCATCGTGGTTACAAGAAAATGTACCTGAAATGGTAAAAATGAGTGAACAAGGAGAATCAGCAGCTAGACTTGAGCAGAGAATGAACCAGCAACAAACAGTCCAGATTTAATGATGAAGCCCAGAACAACAGCTCACAATTTGATGGAGCAGTAAACTCAACAGTGCAAAACCCCAAAAATGCAATCTGAACAGTGGGTACTGAATTCTAATAACCAAAACACCCAAAGGAAATCATTGACTGACTTTCAACCCATTTCAAAGCTAGAAGGTGAACCTCAACTCGGATCAAAGATGCTTTTCTCAAAAAAAAAAAAAAATTCAAACTCACACTCGATGGAACAGTAATAGCTTATACTTCCTGTATTTTTCTTATATTTTAGCTCTTTAATGCTTATCTTCCAGAATCTGTAGGCTCTGTATTTGATTCTGGATTTTGTAGCTCTTCCTCCCTTCCTTGAAGGGCAAGAATGATACCTTATATAGGCTCAAACATAGGGCAGCCTTCCGGTTCTATTTTTACCCTTTGCCCCCTTTTGAGTTTTTCTTTTTAGCTAAAATAGCCCCCAATTCCTAACTTTCTACCCAAGTTTTAGTGCCTATCCATCTGAAATTTTACTAAAGCCCCTCACTAGAAGCTTCCAAATCAGTTAGAGAAAAGATTCCTACCCAGAATACCTAGACTAACCTCCAATACCCCTGAAATTACACTCAGCACTCAAACGGGTCAGGCTGACCCAATGGTTCAGGGATGGGCTTTAAGCAAAATCAGATATACCCTTTCATTGGGCTTGCGAAACCCAAAATCAAACTAAGTTAACAAAATTCAGTACAAAGTCTTGAAAGGAAAACGGGGAAGAAGCATTTTGACATCACAAACGGACCCCTAAACTAATTTGGCTCAAGAACTAAATGAGAAATCACACAAACTATAACAAAACTAGAGGGAATACTAATTAACGATTAATCCCGGATTAAAGGGACACATGCAGAAGTGACTTTGAGAAAAACCAAAGAAAACAAGAACATAGAAGAAGATAAGGAAAAGAAAAATGAAGAAAAAGGGTCCATCAAAATACCTGGTGCAAAACAAACGGATAAAAGCCCCCTGAACGACCCTTTGGAAGAATCCGATTTTGGGCCGAATAAAACCTTAATCACATGTTCTCAATGAAAACACGAGGCTAAAGTCTAATCCGAGCCCAAATCTTTGTTCAACTAGCTGACCCGCATTTTTGATTTAGGGTTCTGATTTTAGATTTGATATTTGAGGGGTTCAGGGGTGATTTGAGGGAAACTGGCCATGGATTAAGGGAGAGGGGGTTGTGGTGGTCAAGGGGTGTGGATTTGGCGGTGAAAGGAGGTGGCGCCGCCACCAGAGAACTCAAGGCGGCAGCTAGGGTTTCGCTCTTCAAATGAGTATTCGACGGATTCCAGGGGGTTTTGAGATGAACGGAGTGGGGATTCGAGATGAGGGGGTGGAGAAGAGTCCACGGTGTTGTTTTGGTGGTGATTGGTGGTCCTCCACCGCCATGGGCGATTTCCGGCGGCGGAATTAGGGTGGGGGAGGGCGGCGTTACGTTGGGTCTCTGAGGGATGGGGTGAGAGAGAGAGACGAAGGGATGGGGGGGGGTAGAGGTTCGAACATATAAATATTAAACAAACCCCAGTTCCGGACCGTTAGATCAACAGAGATCAACGGTCCTGATTTGGTCTGTTAAAACGGGGTCGTTTTGGATTGCTGGGGGGAAGACCGGGTTCTGGGGGCGGGTCGCGGGCCAGTTTGGACGGGTATGGGAGTGGGTTTGGGGGGAAACGTTTGGGCCTGGGGTTTGGAAATTAAAGATGGCCCAAACATACTTATATTTCTATTCTTTTTCTTTCCATTTCTTTTCAATTTCAAATCTTTTTCTTTCTTTTCTAAATAAAACCTACATTAATTCTAAACTAAAATTATCCTACCAAATTAGATTAATGTTCAAAATAATATTTACAACAACTAATTAACTACCAAATTAAAAGAAAACTGCAAGATTCACAGCTAAATGCAAAAATGCGTTATTTTTTGTGATTTTCTATTTTTGTAACACAAATAGATTACTAACTAATTTCAAAATGCCAAATTAAATCCTAAATGCAAATGCAACATATTTTTTTGTATTTTTCATGAATTAAATAAAATAAACATGGACAAACAAATGCAAACAATTAACACAAAAATGCCACAAAATTCAAAAAATTGCAAATAATGAAAAGAAATTATTTTGTTTGAATTTTTGGGAATAATTCATATATAGGGCAAAAATCACGTGCTCACACTCACCATTAGTTTTTACTTTCCAACCATAATGGTTGGAAAGAGTTTTCCATGATATACCCTCCATTGGGGCAATCTTCAATAACTTTTCTACCCAACTACGGAAGTTGGGCACAGATTCTACAACACCCATGGTTGCTGAAAAGAAAAAGAAGCAAGATTAAGAAAAATAAGCAAGCCTAGGAATAAAAAGGCATGAGAAGAATTTAACACTTACGTGCAAAATTCCACTTCTCAGGGAAGCGGATGTTCTTTTCACCCACTAAACCATCAGTGGGAGCAGCAACAAATCGGGCATACCAGCCATGGTCTTTATCATCCTCGGGACTCACTAAGACCCTCTTACTCCTGGCTGCTAA